ATATATGTATATGTCTGTTTGAAGTCTAAAAATGTTCAGGTTAGGCTGCCTTCAAGTCTTTGTCTCTCTTGCAAAAATACAAATTGTGAACTCACTGGAATTGGCCTGGTTAAATCAAAATAAACAAGTAATGATTAGTTTTTAATTTATTAGAAATTTGTCTTCATCTGTACACCTAAATATGGGATGCGTAAACACGTGTAAGTTGCATCATCATTCATCATGCTTTCAGATGAGATACAGTTCCAAATTCTTATTGGACAATGACAGGTAGGTAGTAGGGAATACAATTTATACACAACGACCTATGTGGGTCAAAGCAACCAACAATACAGAAGATCTGTGACTGTTAATCAGGAGATTACAGAATTATTACTCAGTCTGTAGATGATGTCTATCTGAAAAAAAAATCTGCTGAATGTGAATTGTCTGAAGTTGTMTGTTTTAAAATGAATCATGTCAATTTTTAGGTCATCATGGAAACAGGAGTGAATGTCAGCATAACTTATGCTGTGCMTAATATACATCCCTGCTATGAGTTGAACAATTCCAGTTACAAATTTACACCTTCTGCTGCATGTGTGATGTTATATAGTTTTCTAACTCTTCTGTCTGTTGCCACAATGTGTGGAAACTTCCTTGTAATATTCTCTGTGTTTTACTTTAAACAGCTTCATACTCCTACTAATTTCCTCATTATGTCTCTGGCTGTGGCTGACCTGCTTRTAGGAATCATAGTATTTCCTTGGATGATGGTATTCTCTTTCAGTTTATGTTTGCACCATGAMGATTTGTTTTGTAGGATTCGAGACAGCTTTGCAATATACTTTTGTACATGTTCTATTTTACACTTATGTTGTATTTCAATTGATAGATATTATGCAGTTTGTCAGCCATTAATRTATCAATCTAAACTCAGTCGTCGTGTTGTTGTCTTCATGATTACTGTAAGCTGGGGTGGTYCTGCACTTATTGAAATTGGAGCAACAAAAAAATCAGAACAAAAATGTCAGGAAACATGTTTTATTGATGCTTTGATGAGAAATGCAATTGGACCCACTATAGCTTTTTACCTTCCACTTGTCATAATGTTGTTTATTTACCTAAAGATTTACTTTGTTGCAAAGAGACAGGCACRWATCATTCAAACCAGAATGAAAAGCARAACAACTGTCAGTAAGATGGAGAGAAAAGCCACCAAAACTTTGGCTATTGTTCTAGTAGTGTTTATTTTTTGYTGGACTCCTTTCTTTCTTTGTTTTTGTCTTCAGCCTTTTACTAACAATTCAGTACCTGCTTCTGCACTTGACGCTATTATCTTTTTTTCATTAACAAACTCAACATTGAATCCATTTATTTATGCTTTCTTTTACATCTGGTTTAGATCAGCTTTTAGAATTATTATGTCTGGAAAAATATTACATGGTGACTTTGCTCATACAAAACTACATTAGAGGCACAGAAATGTAGTGTTGGTTTGTCAAACACAAAGAAAAAACAATGCTTTTGCAATTTAGTTGAAAGTTAAGATGATATCAAGTTTTTGTGAAATCATTGAAATAGATTTCAACAATTGTTGATTTTTTTGTCTTTATTTCACAATGACTTTTTTCCTTGAGGTCAGCATTCTCTCTATCTCCCCTTTGAGTCCTCCCGAATAGCATTGTTGTTAACAGAAAAAAGGAAGAGCAGCTGAGCTGATTGGAAGTATCATCAGGCTTTAACACCAGTTACCAGGCCATGCTACCAGACCCAACCCAGACTTCGACACTAATCACCAGGCCAGCTACTGGGCCCAGTTTGACGAGATAAAGAAATCTCTCAACTTTGTCAGGGGAAATCTCTACTATTTCAAAGCAAACAAATATTAATGGAATTAAAGGGGGACATTAAGGAACGAAAGAGACAACAAACTGAGAAGGACAAGAAGATTGTGCTCCTGGAGTGCCGAGTGGCGAACTTGGAGTTTTATTCACGCATCAACATGTAGAAATAATGAGAGTGACCCTTGACATGACTTCTTGACAACCACTTTTAGGTCTCCTAACTAACTGAACTTCACTCTGAAAAAGTTTCATAAAGACAAATTTTATACTAGCTTTCAATAATCTGTCCTTGTCTGCAGATAATGCTTATGTGACAGTCTGTTTTAATCTTTAATGATTCATCATTAAATCATTAACATTTCTGTGACATGATTTTCAGGTATTTTATTTCAAGTGTATATTATATTGTAAACTGAATATAATTTGAACTGTCATTAATTTTAATGTCCAATGTTAAAGTAAGTATTTCGCCTATATTCTTCCCTAAACAGAAGGAAACAACACACTGAAAGAAAAAGTCAGTTGGATGTTTATAATTGAAACATGTACATCGGTTGCACACAATTAGATTATGTTAGGATTAGGATTTTTATATCTTCATTATATAATTCCAACATAATAAATACATGCTACTGTATGACTGTGAATATTTCATGTTGAAATATTATAATAATTTCATGTTGAAATATT